CAACAGGTCTTCCATCTTGCAGATAGAATTTTGAAAGGGCTTTCAATACTACTAAGCATTTATTCCCCCAACCACCCCCCCGGCGAGTTCCATAATTAAGAATGGAAATGAACTATTATTCCCCATCAAACTTATCTTCTATTTAGTAGACTTGTTTCTGATTGTTCATCTTTTCGAATGTGATTCTTTACCTTCCTCGATTTACTATGCATTCTGTGGTTATATATTATGTATTCGGTTTAATTGGAGAGATTGCAACATTTTTATTGAAGTATGTCCTTCAAAATTAGAGTATAGCTGAACTAACAAAAAGGAAGAGGGGGAAAAACAGGAGAGATTACAACTCGTTTATAGAACTAGGAGCTCTTTCTAAACCTCAATTTTTAGTGTATGAGTTAACTCCTGTTTTGTTTCATTCGGATAGGCAATTACATATGTTTTTCAATATTAGGCACCTTGCATGGTGCAAGAGCACAACATGGAAAATATAAGTACCTAGCTTGAGAAAAAAATTGTCTGTCAGCTGATGTTTTCTTTTTGTTTCTGTACATCTGACTTGATTTCTGTTACATTATAGAAGGCCCTCAACCTGTGCTATGTTACTTAGATTTCGTTAACCAGAATTTGGTCTCTTGGAGTTGATTTTTAAACTTCTAGTAGATGTAAAAAGTAATTCTCAAACTGTAAACTTGTAGTTCTGCCTCTCTGAAGATTCATTTACACAATAAGAAAAAATCTTACAATCTTAAATTAACTCGCTAAAAATGTGAATATTAGAGTTCTCGAATTGTAGCTTTTCTAAACATTTATACATCGAACACAGAAAAAATGTTAATACCTAAATCAGTGAATGGATTTATCTCATGGATGTGCTTTCTTTCTGATATTATGTTGTTTATAACTGCTTCTTGAGTTTGTTTCTGATGTCCATAGTAGTAGTAGGATATGTGAAGCTTTTATTCTTGTGTAGTTAGTTCACCAGTTGCGTACTCCTATTTTGTGTCCATAATTGGAGAATGAAATATAATAATACTATTTATGGGTCATAATTTAGTGATTTGTGGTGGCATCATGGCGATTTAATGTTTCCAGTTACAGATGTTTCTGTTTTCTGATTGATTAACTTCAACAGACTAATTAGTGAATGAATAAAATTTTAATCTGCTAAATTTGTTTCCCTTACAGGGCCAAAGTAATATATATCCATTTTGCCCTCCCAAGCCTGAAGACATAGCCACTATATGCTATACTAGCGGTACTACCGGGACACCAAAGGTAGCACTTGTGAATTTCAGTTTTAGATATTTCACTAAGTATTACACATAAAATGGTTGGTTATTGAGACATTACACAACTCTTTTGTCTTTGAAAGGGAGTTGTTTTGTCACACAGCAACTTGATTGCAAGTATTGCAGGCGCGACCCTTTCAATCAAATTTCATCCCTCAGACATGTGAGTTTTATTGGAACTAATGATTTCTTTTCACTTTCATCCTGTCATATTGATAATAATTATTTCTCTAATAGATATATATCCTATCTTCCCCTGGCACACATCTATGAACGAGCTAATCAGATTTTGTCAGTGTACTATGGTGTAGCTGTTGGCTTCTACCAGGGGGTACGTGATCTGCAAATGATACTTTTATTTCTTGGAATGTAGTTATATATTTCTGGTTTTCTACCTTTGTGCGTGTTTTTGATTTCAGTGGAAAAAGAGAAAAAACTTTTAATAATGTGAAGATGCCTGTTTCCCCTTCCCTCCCCCACACATCTACTGAGATAATATCTGAGATTTGGTATACCTGATGCCCTTAATACAGTTTTCCTTTATTAGATGAACAGGCAATAACAAGTATGAATTCCCTAGAGATTAGCTCTATGTATCATTGCTCTTCTACATGGGAAATTTCAAACTCTTGAAGTTTTTGAGGAATTGAAGTACTTTATCACTTATCTACAGTTTGACCCAAAGGTTAAGCATGCTGAACTTGATTGGTAAATTTTACCAGGCGAATCTGCAGTGGCTGATGAAATGGAAGCAAATTTCTTTTTAATTTCAAGTGATTGTTATTAGAACTGGGATCCACTAGCCAATCTGAAATTTTGGATATTTGGTTCAACTTACAAACAATGGACCAGTGCATAAAAATGGGAAATAAAACTGGAAAAGCTCAAATGAGTTTAACTGAGAGTTGTCGAGAAAAACGCTTGTTGAATTCCTGCTTTGTGTTAATGATCTTGATGTTATACATCTGCTGTTGAATTTTATTATTGCAACAGCTTTATGTATGAAATAGTATTACTGTTCTGCAGGATAACATGAAGTTGATGGATGATTTAGCTGCTTTAAGACCCACAATATTTTCCAGTGTTCCTCGACTATACAACAGAATATACGCTGGGTAACAGTCGTTAAATGTTTATCAAATGATAGTTGTATTTATTTAGCGAGTTCTCTCAGTAATTTATTTATTTATTATTTTTTGTTTCATTGTAGGATAGCCAATGCTGTAAAGACTTCCGGTGTTCTAAAGGAGAGGCTATTTAATGCAGCCTACAATTCAAAGAAGCAAGCTGTAATGAGTGGTATGATCAGCTACGGCTTCATTTTCCTTTATGTGACATTGCCATACTACTAATTGTATATATCTTTGAAAGAGAAAGGCTTCCATCAATATCAGAGTGTGCAAAGAGTACCGATGGGTTACTGGTGGTGGGGGAGAGAGGATTGGGGTAATAAATACTAAAGAAAAATGGTCTGTGAATCTTTTATTCACGGCTATTATCACGTGTCAGAAGTAATGAGTGAAGTAATAAAAGGAGATTTTGAACTACTATTGAAGTTCAACCTAGACCAAGTGTCTGTGTGTTACATGTTATGGAATCAGGTTTGTTGTAATAAAAAGTTGTTTGGGAAGCCACAATAACAAAACCAAGGTTGTTTCTATTTGTATCGCTGATATACTTGAATATGAATCTAAATCCTGTAAAATAAACCAGCAAATGCAAACTGGAAGTGATTGGATGAAGGTAGACACAATGATTTATAGTAGTTCAAATTAAAGTAATCTACATTCACCACTAGTGATGGCATGGACTTTCAGCACTTTAGAAATAACTCTTTAACATTTTAGATGGAGGAATTCCACAACTTACAATGAGCTTTTCGTTTGAAAGTGGGTGACATTACAGTTTCTAGTTTACAAAAGTTAAACACTGAATACATCTCAATAGTTATGTTTCTGCACAACGCGATGTGAGTTCTTACCTTTTCAATTTTTTGCATTGAAAGCCTCCTGTAATAGACAAATAAATAATGAAATACAGGAACTATCCAAATATTGTAAGATGAAAATCCTGAGAACATAGCCATTGAGGGTTTATTCTGCTTCAGGAATGAAGGTTCCTTTGTTTTCTGTATATATGCAATGTAGGCTTTCAAAAAAATCCTCTATGAGTGGTACCGAAGCCCCGTTTGGTTTAGCTAAAATCAGATTTTTGGTAGGTTTTGATAAATGTAAATGAGATGCGTGGTTGAAAAGTTGATAGAAGTTGTGGAGCCTATGAAATTTATGGTTAGAAATGAGTTTTAGAAAATGGGGACCAAACAGGGGCTGAGTTATTCTATTACGTTTTCAGACTATAAGGACTGAATAATTGATGGCGTTGGACATTGACTTAAGTGAATTTTTGAATTTGACAGCGTCTAAATTTTTCTCTGATGCTATCACTTGTTTAAATTGAAACGCTGAAGTATATATACACACATGAAACATTGAGTCATGGGACAGGAATTGGTAAGCATCCTTGAAAATTAGGTCTGTAACAACATTGAAAGCTTCCTGAGTGATACAAATTTGTTAGTTCCAGAGGTGTAAAATAAATGAATTGAAGATGGGGGTATCAGTTTTTCAGTCCGGAAAAGGTGCATTCTGAAGAGATTCTCGTTTCAGGATATCATTCCTGCACAATTCATTGTTATGTTATTAGAAAACAAATCCCGAGAGATCTTAGGAAAGTGAAAACGTGTACATTTAAAGTTATTACGATTGATCTCATTCAAATCCAATTACAGATTGCATAGTGCATTATCATCAAACCTAAACTATGTATCAGAGCTGTTGTTACCTTTGCTAAGCAGAACAGTTGCCTCTTCAATTGTATAAAATATTGGTAAGTGCCTTGTACCACCATGTTTTTTGGAATATTCTCCAAGATCTGACTGCACAAGTGGGTTGACACTTTAGGGTCAATAGAGGACTGGATCTAAAACAGGATTTAGGGTCACACATTAAATGTATGTACAGGCCGAATGTATGTACAGGCAGGGGGGAGGGGGGAGGACCGCGAGGATTTATTTTCATTCTTTTCACTGTTCTATTTTCTCTCTCCTCTTTTCAAATAATCTCTCCAGGATTTTGTTATTTATTTTCCAGTTGTTTCGAATTTCATATCTTTGTTTTTATCTGGTTTATCGCTCAAAGGATGTGGAGTTTTGACAGTTGATTCCGGCTTCGCAATCTAGTTTTTGACACTTTCCATAATGCATATGTTTTACTCACATTTTAGGTAGAAAACCATCACCAATGTGGGATAGATTGGTCTTCAATAAAATAAAAGACAAACTTGGAGGGCGTGTCCGTCTGATGACTTCAGGTGCTTCACCACTGTCTCCTGATGTCATGGAGTTTTTAAGGGTGTAAGTTGATTATTCTTCCCGTTAGATAAGTAATATTTTTAATTGATGAGAAATTAGGGGTCACACTTTTTATCTAACATTTCAGTCTACATGTAGATGCTTTGACTGTCCACTTCTTGAAGGATATGGTATGACAGAGACTTCATGTGTCATTAGCTCTATGGACGAAAGTGACACCTTAACTGGTCATGTTGGTTCTCCCAATCCTGCTTGTGGTACGCTGTTGACAGTGACTTATACAATTATTAGCATGTAATGCCTTAGTTAACAGCTAGTCATGTTAACTTGTTAACATCACTAACGTTGTGGAAAATGAAATCCAGGCACTGAGAAGGGATAATCATTTAAAACATTTTGTTTGTTGTATAAATGTCTTTATTGTTTGTGGGTTGAAACTTTTGCTTATGTAAAACTGATTTTCTTGTCTCTTCCAGAAATAAAGCTGGTAGATGTTCCTGAGATGAATTACACTTCAGAAGATCTACCACATCCTCGTGGGGAGATCTGTGTTAGAGGTCCCACCATTTTCCAAGGCTATTACAAAGATGAAGTCCAGACGTGAGTATCTTTGAAATATATATCTAGCATGCTTGAGATAGATTTGGAAATCCTAAGCATGTCTGACTCTTTTTAATTAACAGGAGAGAAGTAATTGATGATGAAGGTTGGCTGCACACAGGGGATATTGGATTATGGCTACCCGGTGGACGTCTTAAGATTATTGATAGGTAAGGTTTATAATTTTGTAGGATATTGATGTTGTAATCTGTACATGAATAGCTTGCTTTGGTGAAAGACTTTGAGTTGTGATTTGCGAACAGAATTTTACTTTTAGATCTTTGGTTCGCTATTCCTGAATTGTTGTTTTTCTATACCCTGTTTCTTTTGAAACTGCTTGATGAAAACTAGTACGATTGGTCCAATCTTTACATTTTTTCCATCTAATGGTTTTTTCTTTTGGTAGTCAGGGTGATTAGAGAGGTTTAAATGTTGAATTTCTTAATGTTAACAGGAAAAAGAACATTTTTAAGTTGGCCCAGGGCGAGTACATAGCACCAGAGAAAATTGAGAATGTATACGCCAAGTGCAAATTTGTTGTGCAGTGCTTCGTGTATGGTAAGAAGATTACTTCATGTTTCAGTACGGCACTCCCAACCATTTCTTTCGCTGACTGGTGCAATGTAACAGGTGATAGCTTGAACTCCAGTTTAGTTGCAGTAGTCTGTGTGGAGCCAGATGTGTTAAAGGATTGGGCCACATCAGAAGGCATTAAGGTAATGTTAATCCTTTCTATATTTTCAGTTGGCAAACCACTTCCAATGAAATCCGAAGTCCAGAGCTCTCAGAAATGTTCATGTTGCATTGTTGCATTTGATTCAGCTGTCCTTTCACCAATTTTTTGTTGCATACTATTGCTACAGACAGCTAGTTGCATTTTATTATTCATCTCTTATCACAATAGTGCAGAATGGGACATTCTTGGTCATGATTGCTTGTCCTGCTTTTTCTTTGGGCCTATTTATTATAGTCATTCTTCAAGGATTGAACAGTAATACAAACTTAATATCTTCTGGACCGATTTCCAGCCTAATTTTTAGGGAGACCTGTTATATCAATTTTCCAAAAATAGTTTTTGTTGCTTCATCTGATGAATGTTTCTTCCATTCCATCATAATTACTGGTGCAGTCATAGTCACTAATCAGCTCTATCCAGTGCCATAAGTTCCGACTGGCCAGAGACCATTTGTCTAGGATCCTCTCTCAAGGTTGTTCCCGAAATCAATGAAATGTCTACTAGCCATTGAGAGTTGAAAATTTCGTAGTTCACACTCACAATTTTATTAATTAGTATTTTTGTTTTTCACAGTATGTCACACTACCCAATCATAAGATAAATAAAGAGGCACAACCACCTTTCATGCAGAACTAAATGTGTTATTTGGAGTGTAAGGGCATAGTTTTTTTAAACAAGAGGCCTAGCTATTTTGCATGCTCAATGAAATATGACACCGCCAGAGTAGGCGGACTCTTTATGAACCTCGCTCATGCATTGACAGTTTAAAATATACAAGGAGTCAGAGAATTGGCCTTACTCCCCTTCCCAGTACACACACACAGAGACAAGAAAACAAGTCAAAAATTGAAGAAACAAAGAGAGATCCATGTGTTTTATATCCATTTGAATTGACAGCTTTGCTACATATCATTACTCATTTCATTGAATGAGGTTTCTCAATATTACTCAGATATGCATCTCAACTTCTTTTGCTAAGTTGATTTTACATATGGTGCAGTATGAAGATTTAGGGCAACTATGCAATGATCCGAGAGCAAGGGCTGCCGTTCTTGCTGAGATGGATGCTGTAGGAAAGGAAGCTCAGGTAATCTCTTCCCAGAGTGATTTTTATCAATGCTTCATATAGATTTCTCGGGGTCTTATTTGGTGACATCTTTTATGTAATTGATGGCTCTTCATTTTTCTAAACAGTTGAGAGGTTTCGAATTCGTGAAAGCTGTCACCTTGGTGATTGAGCCATTTACATTAGAGAATGGATTGTTAACTCCGACATTTAAGGTAATTTCTATTCTCACTTAAAGTCAAGGATCTAGAATCTTTACATATTCATGTAAATCTAGAAATGGAACAAACAAGGAAGCCCGAAAGGATTTATTTAGGCGACCCAAATTTACTGAAAGACAATGAAGCGAAAGCTGAAAAGAATTTGTTTAGCCTACCTCCAATTTATTCAGAAAAAGGCTGGCATTGTCGTTGTTTTATCTTCACAACTAATTTAGCAACCAGAGAACAGTTTGTTTGATTCATCGCTTTGTTTGGAATCTCAGATAAAGAGGCCCCAAGCGAAGGCCTACTTCGCCAAAGCAATATCTGACATGTATGCCGAGCTTTCAACATCTGATGCACCAAAAAGGATGCTATGATCACAGCTTGGAATATTCCAAAGTACAGAAGTCTCCACTGCTAGTGGATGAATTTCAATGTATACTTTGTAATAGCCAAATGTGGTAATGACTTCCTCTTATTGTTGTGTATTGTCCTAAGATTTTTTTTTTATTTATTCATCCAATTTACTGTTCCAGAAATTGTAGTATTGTGAAATAATTCGTCGATGCAACCAATAATTTATTGAGAAGTATTATTAGCAAGCATAATAAAGAAAATAATGGTTATGAAGCTGGTAGAACTGGAATTTTTCTGATCACAATTTTGCAAGTTGTAGTTGTAAAACAGTCCTGGCATGGCATGACATGGCTTGCGCAGGCCGACATGCTTATCCAGACGAGCTGGCCGCAGCACAGTTTATCTCAGAATGTTTATTTCTATGTTGTAATATATCGAAGAAGTTTGTTAGACAACAAAATTGTAAGAGATTTGGTTGTCTGAATATTTTTCTTTTGAATGATTGGGTAAAATGAGCTAGTTAGTTATTTAGCACATTATAATATTGCATGCTGAGACGTACTGATTATATATCTAAGTGATTGAGAGAGTTGACGTCGCGGCAGCAGTGGAGAGAGAATAAACAGTCAGTCAATGAAAGTAATGTTCGATCCTATGTGGTGCACCAAGACTTCTTCCCACAAGGCTAGAATTTCATTCTTCTTGTTGCTTTTATCGTGAGTTATAGATTAAGCGTCACTGCTAAAATTAACTCAAGATCAACTATAATCTAGCTTTTTGGCCAATTAACTGTAACGGACTAATTGAATTAATCCACTTTGACCTTTATCGGACACTAGATAAGATTGGGCTCTACTTTAGCGTACGAATGACCATTTGTATAATTATAAATCATTTTAGTGACCAAGTAGATTAAACTACAAATTTTTAGGACCGATTTAAAATTTAGTGACCACTTATGATATCTAGGTATTTTTTATCATTATTCTAAAAAGCTCGTCTAAGCGAACTTCAGCTTCACTACATTTCGTCTAGCTCGTTTAGATTCGTAAAAGCTTGAAAATTTATTTTACCGTCTAACCACGTTTTTAAAAATATTATGTTTTATACACATTTTGTATGAGCTATAAATACTATCCACCAATCATTTTTATCTATTTATAATTTGAGATCCGTTTGATTCTCATTATTGTGAAATAAGAATTAAAAATATAGTAGTTATTAAGCCCCACACAAGAGATAGAAATTCAAAATCGATAGCTTGATGTGATGAATAATGATTATATTTTTCATTTTTATGGATGAAAAATAAGAAAAAAATTGGGGCTGAACCTATAATCAATTCCCATACATGTTCCTATTAGCCAATTCTTATGTTTTTAAGTGTAGGTGGATGGAACTTTTTGTCATTCTTAAAAATATCACTAAAAGTGAATTTAGCATGGTTGGAAAGTATTTATAAATTATTTAAATTATACTTCTAGTTTTCTTGAAATCTGTAAATAAGAATTGAATTTGAGTAATTGGAATTGGAGTGGGACATTTTGCAAAATGACCTANGAGCTAGTTAGTTATTTAGCACATTCTAATATTGCATGCTGAGACGTACTGATTATATATCTAAGTGATTGAGAGAGTTGACGTCGCGGCAGCAGTGGAGAGAGAATAAACAGGCAGTCAATGAAAGTAATGTTCGATCCTATGTGGTGCACCAGGACTTCTTTCCACAAGGCTAGAATTTCATTCTTCTTGTTGCTTTTATCGTGAGTTATAGGTTAAGCGTCACTGCTAAAATTAACTCAAGATCAACTATAATCTAGCTTTTTGGCTAATTAATTGTAACGGACTAATTGAATTAATCCACTTTGACATTTATCGGACACTAGATAAGATTGGACTCTACTTTAGTGTACGAATGACAATTTGTGTAATAATAAATCATTTTAGTGACCAAGTAGATTAAACTACAATTTTTTAGGACCGATTTAAAATTTAGTGACCACTTATGATATCTGGGTATTTTTTATCATTTTTATAAAAAGCTCGTCTAAGCGAACTTCAGTTTCACTATATTTTGTCTAGCTCGTTTAGGTTCGTAAAAGATTGAAAATTTATTTTACCATCTAACCGCGCTTTTTTAAAATATTATTTTTTATACACATATTTGTAAGATTTATAAATACTATCCATCAATCATTTTTATCTATTTATAATTTGAACGTATAATCAATTCCCATACACATTCCTATTAGCTAATTCTTATGTTTTAAAGTGTAGGTGGGTGGAACTTTTTGTCATCTTTAAAAATATCATTAAAAGTGAATTTAGCACGGTTGGAAAGTATTTATATATTATATTCTATTTTTCTCGAAATCTGTAAATAAGAATTGAATTTAAGCAATTGGAATTAGAGTGAATTGTTTCAAAAATCATTGAATTTATAAAATCGTCACAGACTGCTTACCAAACCTTATTCTGCTTCACAATACTCACTCAAGTTTACCTATTAGCACTACATCCCTCACCCAGAAAAATATTTTTTCGATAGTCACTGATGTAGCGAAAGGGATTCTAATGTGGAGTCTGACGTCCGTTAAATTTGAACAGAAAAATGGCATTTTTAGCAGTCAGCAGAAATCGTGTGTATCAAAACTCGATTTAGACCACCTGAAGTGTTTCACCATTGAGAAATGGGAGCAAGCTGTTGTGATTATTGGGTTTTTTGTACCTTCACGGGCCAGTGAGTCAATTCAATGCATATCGAAATCAAATGAAAAAGCAACAGATTTTGAAGTGATGTCAGATTCCTTGGCTCGAGCAAAAACCGAGTCGGGATCCAAATCCCTTTCCAAAGCCTCATTCCTGAGAGCAAAGATTGTAAGATTGTAATATTATGTTTCGAAACTTGCATTTTCAAGGATTTGCAGGAAATGTACTTTTTCCACGAGTTCTGATAATTCAATATAGTGAGAATCCAAAAAGGGCAACAAGAACTGAGTTGGAGTTGATATGGACCAAGTTTGAGGACCTTGCAACCGAGTTCTTGGCTAATGAATTTCGATTTTGTTGCAATGCAGCATTTGTTATGGCGAGAAGAGTGAATATTGTGTAGAAGATGATTCTAGACACGTCATATATGAGAAAATATTTTGTATCACAAGTAAATTTAAATTGAAAAAGGTTTTTGGTCTTTTTTTTTTTAATGCTGACTTGCTAAAGACGCCATTTTTGTTCAAATTTAACGGATGTTAGATGGTCCGTTAGAATTCCGCCCGTTGTGTCAGTTACTAACGACACAAATTTTTCTCAAAGTGATGAATGGAGTGCTAACGGGTAAGAATTATGCTACATTACAAGGGCCTCGTAGGCCTTGGTAATGCTGGGGGGCCAACTGGCCGTCTGGCTCCTTGTGAGAGCAAGTACTTTGAAGCAGAATAAAGTTGGTCCCTATGAGAGTGAGTACTGTGACCAGAATAAAGTTTGTTGAGCAATCTATCACCATGAAACAACAATCGTGCTATTGGGGTTGGCTCAATAACAGAGCCCAAAAACAGGGGCTGAGGTGGAGCCCTCACATCGGAGGGGGAGTTGACCCCTCCAATTACAGGGCACCTGTCATTTGTCCCGATCATTGAGCCGGGACAAATGGCTTTACTCACGAAACAATTCACTGTTGGAATTAGAGCTACAAAAGAAGTCACGTGGCTTTTAGAACCTTTGGAAAAATGGCTTTTAACCCGTTTGATCTACATTATTATCTCATTAAAATGAAAAATATGACCGTTATCCATCAAATCAACATTTAAATTCAGATTTTCTATCTCTTATGTGGGCACTAATAACAGCTATATTTTTCATTTTCATTCTACAATAATTTGGCTCGAACAGGCCTTGACTGGGTTTTTAATTTTTAATGATTTCCCCGAATCTCAAACTGCAACTTGACTAGTTGACTTGCAGTGAACCCCTCCACCTTCAACAACAATTTTCCTACCTCCCCTAAGAGGAAATTACACTAGATGTCATTTTGTCACCATGTAATTACCAAAATGTCACATTTTTAAACTAGTTGCAAGATTGTCAAAATTGGACATTTTTACCCCT